TTTGCACTGAGTTTCTGTTGGTGATATTTTTTTGCTTGACTCTGATTTTTGAAATTAATTGCTGATGGTGATTACTGCAATTTGTTCCCAGTCTTGGCAGCAAGAATACAGTTTCTCCATCTCCTGTTTCCAGTTGAACACTCTATTTGATTTTTATATTGGCCATCTGGTGGTGAGTGGTGAGTCATGTTCTTGCTTCATTTCTTACCACTAGGCCAATTTTTCTACAGTATTTGATTTTCTACTTTTGTGTTCCAGTCATCTAGGATTATCAACACATCTTGTTTTGTTGTGTAATCAATTTCTTCAAATTGCATAATACTGTTCAATTTCTTTTTCTTCAGCTTCTGTTATTGGAGCATAGACTTGAATGATGGGTATGTTGCTAGGTTTTCCACTGCTCCTGACTAATAGTATTTGGTCAGATTTTGCACTGTATCCCCTTACAGCCTCTGCCACATCTTGCTTTATTATTACTGCTACTCCTTTTCTATTGCATTTGTCATTTCTGGAGTAAAACACTTTATGTTTGTCTGACTGCAAATGTCCCATTCCAGTCCACTTAAGTTTATTCACACCAAGTACTACAATTTTTAACTATTCCACTTCCTGCTTTAAAGTTTCCAGTTCACCTTGAGTCACACTTCCATCCATGTTCTAGTTGTATGTGTTCTACAGCATCAGACTTTCCTCTCACCTATGTGCATGTCAGCCACTAGACTTCCTTTCAGCTTGTATTGTTAGTGACAACATTCTTCATACTTGTCCTTTGCTCTTCTCCAAGAGCTTGTTGAACACTTACCAACCTAGGGTTCTCATATAGTGGGACTATTTCATTTCTTTTTGAAATAGTCCCACTATATGAGTTTTTTTCATTGTTTAATAATAAAGTTTTCAAGGTAAGAATATGCTTTCTGTTACACAGGAGTTCATTTGGACATCACTGCCATAGTCTGTGAAAGATCCTGTCCAGTAATAGCTTCAGTTACTACTTCTGCCTAGTATCTGACTTTCAGAAATTTCTCTGCCCCATCACTATTAGAGAAATCCATTCTCTTCTGCTGATGTAACAACATTATTTAAAATATACTATAAAACATACTACCCCACACCTCTGGAAATTGCCCAAAGAAGTTAGAATGAACAGGTTAGAGCACAGCAATGTGACAAAATAATATATGCTATATTTTTGTTGTTACAAGATATGCTCCCTATTTTATTTATTTATTCAAAACTTTTATATGCTGTCCCTTATGCATGGCATCTCAGGATGGCTTACTATCATTAAACTTTGCATCAAAACATTTTTTACTTATTTCCAATTAAGAGGGCAAAGCAAACTACCATGTTACCGGTACATTCTGCTTGCTTAATACTGTTGGCTTTTGGCCAGCAAAGATAGCAGTGATCTACCTTTTTCCTGTAAGAACAAATGCCACTGTCTCCTAAGAAACATCTGTGGATGATTCCTCTCAAAAAATGTGGCAGTCCTCAATTTGTTGGCTAGTAATCAAATGCAAACTAAAACATCTGTGAGCCAGATGTACAGAAAGCTACATTCACTACCATTGCTCAACAACATGAACATTGTGAAATATGCCAGTTAGGGATGGCAAAAGGTAGAAATGCCTGAGTGCAAAAATCCTACACCACCCTTAAGAAGCATTACATTTTCTTATAATGTCTCTTTTATCATCTCATTATAGGCCACTTGAAGGGTCTGAGAATAGCACTTTAATCTAACCTTAGAGGTTCCTGAAAAGTTATTTCCCAGGTATAGATTATTGCAATACCTTATCTTTGAGTGGCCTTGGGAGTGAGATGGAAACTGGTTTGGTGGCAGAGCACATATGCAAAGCGTTCTAGCTTGTATCCTGGGTAGCATCTCCTGGTGGAACACTAAAAAACTGGAGACTTAAACCCTGGAAAGCTGGTACCAGCCTGCCAATTGGGTACCACAGTAGGTGGGCCATGGTCTCATCTGGTACAAGGCAACCTCCTATTCTGATATTTCTTGCAGTTGATATAAGCAAATGAAGAAATATATTGCCTATGATTTCTAGTTCAATTACTCTTCTTTTTCAAATGTAGTAACTCCAAACAAATACTGTATGTGACTAATGCCACAATAATAACAAATATTTATTTCAAGCACACAAACACACATTTTTTAATGTGCTCAGTTGCACTATGTGATTATTCAGCAGCAGTTGCAATACAGAACTTAAGCAGTTTCAATGATCCATCATAATGAAATGTAAAACTAAGCAATTCCTATGCTCAGGTTGTGCTATACCTTCTTTTACTCAGTACTGTAAAATTAAGTGTTTAAAAACATTAATTTTTAATATCTGAAATATTAAATAATTTCAAATTGGATACATCAAAAGACCCAAACATGCTTAATGTAAACAGAATTAATGAAAGAGCAGTCCTATTTAGTAGAGCAGGTAGAGGAGTGTCAAATTAGTCATTTCCAAAATCTTGCAGGTTCAGAAGAACCAGAATGGAAGATGGGTTGCTTTTTCTTGCTTTATCACTTGTGAATCTGTTTTTTTTTTTAAAGAATTCCCTCTCCCACTGAAACCAATGAGTAAAAATTAACTACAGGCTGCTACTTTTTATTTATATCCCACTGTTGTTTCCCCAAAACTGGCACTTGGTAGCTTGGATTAATGGGCCAATTCTGAGGCCCCTCAGAGAATGGATAAACTTTGGATTCAGTGGATGCCACTATTTTTCAAGGCTGCCAGTCCAACTTATGGCAATTTGTTTATAATTACAGGAAATGATATCAAGGATACAAATATGAGCTTTTAGTCTTTTTGACACTTGCTGTATAGTGACAGTATTCAATAGTTTTCTGTAAATGTGAATATGACCTAATTAGTGCCTTTCAAGAGAGTAAAAGAAGCACAAAACACTTTACTTGTATTTCCTCCTAAACTCAGATGTACTAGAATTTTCTAGAATTCACACTTTTCCAAGCTCTTTCCAGTTATTCAGAACAATATTTGTATGCTGCCCATTAAATGACTTTCATATCAAATTCAAATGTTTAGCTTAACAATACTTTATTAAAATCAACATTATTTTATTGAAATGCAGACAAACATTATACTGGGACAAGACTAAGCACAAAAGTTCTAGTTCCTATGCAATAGTGACAGGAACCCAATTCGTCCAGCCACAATGTATCAACAAGCATTCGCAACATAGTTTAGAATGTGAAAATTAAAAGAAAAATTCCTATGCTTTATTGGCCCAGGAACTACCTTATTGCAAGGCGTACAGAATGGTGAGCCATTTCAAATGCAATACATATCTAGAGTTTTAGGACAGGAATAATGATGTGAGAATGCACAAACTAATTTGATACTTTTTTCTTAAAAGGAAAGGCTAAGTATTTGGGGCTTTTAGGGTAAGACAAATGGCAACTAAGGCCAGGACTGTGACAGAGATGCATAAAGTTATGCATGGTGTGCAGAAACTCAAAATAGATCGCTCTTTTTACCTTTCTCTAACTACTATTCAATGTTACCTTAAGCAAGATCCACTAAACCAGCCTGCGAAACTGCTTATGCACTGCAGTTAGTGAGCCTGGACACTCCATGGTGGTCACCATTAGATATTGCTCATAAAGATACTAACTTGTGAAAACATTTCTGTGTACAAAGTTGCCATCAAGATCTGAGTAACACTCACCTTGTTGTATGTCCTTCATCTCTAAATGTAAACTAGATATCAGGATTCCTACAGCTTGGGATCTCTTTCCATCCAATAGCTTGATAATCTAGAAGTAATTTTTTTATAAACGGTCAATTTTATATGTCCAAATGTATGAATAGTAAACTAAAGCTAAAATTAAGAGTAATCAATTACATGCCAATTGTCACCCCTTCTGTTTTCCTTTATTTTTCAAACTACATTTTAGAAAAATATTAGTATAAGCTGTTCTGGCAATACCTTGATAACATAAAAATTCACAACTCTGTGAAGGGGATATTTTCTACAACCATTTTATAAATCCCATATGTCTACAAAAAGGACATTACATCTAAGCAAATAGTAACTCCACACAGTTTTATATTAATGCTTCTGCATCTACACAGCATATAGTATGGAAATCCATTGTTGTTGTTATTATCTCCATTATCATCATCCTTTATGTATGCCACTTTTGAACAAAGTTGTACAGAAAGCAGCTCTTAACAACTGAGCAACATTACAAATGAACAATAGTAAATATAATTTACAATGTATTAAACATCAATAGATATAACAATATTAATAATACAATAGAAAGAATTCAGCAGATTATTGTATCCTGGAATTGTTTTCAAGATACGGCTATGGCACTGCATATTAACTCACAGAACAGCATATATACGTATTAACCAGACAAAGTACTTTTGACTCCCAAGAATTTCAGTAGCAGAGAGTTAAGTTTTTTTTCCCATTGAAAATAATGAGATTTACATAAATTTTGACATGCCCAATTTTAATATTTAGAATAAAAAATACAATTGATGCTCTGAGAATAAATAGTATTATTTATGAATTTTCTATCTTCATTCCTTTTATTTAAAAAGAAGAAGCAGGGTGAGGAAATATTATCATGAAGTAAATTCTAGTTAAATGGAAAGTATATGATAGACATTACTGAAGTTATACATGCTATTTGATTAACTTAGCAGCAGATTAACATCTGATGGAGGTAATTATAGGTTTAAGTAGAGTGCAATTTGTATACCATTCACTGACCTCAAGACTGACCCTTTACAGAGGAAAATTCATAGACTGTCATAAACCCCATTAGACATGCCTAGTTTAAGGTAAAATCTTTCCAGGCTATACCTCATAAAGACAATATGACATTTGAAACAACTACATTGCATTGCCTCTGCAAATTGTAGGCATGCTGCAAAGATGATCAGGTTTAACTCACACAACATTTGCCCCTCCATATCTTATTCTAAACTACAAATGCCTTTAATAGTACACAATTGAAAAATAATAGAACAAAATAAGCTGTATATTTATAGGCTTTTATGAGAACCAATACATATGGTCAGAATTATGAATGAACAAGCTGGGTAACTCAAGCTACTTGAAATAGCCAGAACAAAATGATCAATATTTCCATATAACTGCTATTTTCACACTGTATACTTACATGGTTTCCAATAACCCATGCAGGGCACGCTAGTAATTGTGCAACAACAAAGATGGAATTACCAGGGTCATAAAGGGATTCATTAAAGTCAAACTCTACTTAATGTTGTAAGCTGTCCTGAGATGTTGTCGTAAAGGATGGCATATAAATGTTATAAATAAATAAACTCAAGGCAGAAACCTTTTTGGACCCATAAGCACATTTCACAATGTTGTCAAGGGCACCATCACAAAATGGCTGACAAGGGAGAAGTGGCAAAGGACAAGTAACCCACCCAAAATATTAAATATAAGGCAGAATTCACAATTTTCAGCACCAACAAAATCTATTCCATAAGAATACCAACCTCCAGCAAGAAAATATGTTCACTTTTGTCATTGGTAATAGGCAGGATAGGGAAACTTCGCAGTTGTCAGAAAAGATGTCTAACATGAATTATGTCAGGTACCTGCCCCTTCTCCTTTCTGCTTTAATAGTATAACATCCAAAAGAATAAATGCCATATAATTAAATAAATAATGTATACAACAGCAGTTAAATTGGGAAATGGAAACAGTCTAAACCTTAGTTCAGGAAAAAAAAAACCCCAAAAGCCTTTCCCAAGATATCTGATATGATTATCCAACTTTCTTAGATGATGCGAATTGAAAGAAAACATCAAAATAGAGTGATTTAAGCACACCAATTTAAACACAATTTATTTCTGAGAATAAAAGACAGCATTCAAAATAGTTTTAAGGCTTCAACAAAGTCTAACAATTAAAAGGTGAATCACTTTGGCCTGATTCCTACATCTGAAAGTCTTTGACAAATTTGGAAGACAGCTATGACACACTTTACCCCTCAAATTACACAGTTTTTATATGGTCACTAAGGGCTTACTCCCATGCATACTTAGCCAGAAAAAAAGTTTGACAACTCCCAGCAAAGCTGGCTGGAGAACGCTGGCAGTTGTCTGTCTAAACATGCATAGGATTGTTCCCAAAATCTGGTTCTTGTGCCCAACAAAATGAATACAGCCCATCAGCCATATGTTTAGCAGGAGCCTGATAAGCCTCCTTTTTTTTGTAGCCTGATGCCTGGAACTGGAAAAGAGCTGAATCATCAATCTCTTGTAAGCTCCAAGACATAGGCTGATGGGCTGCAGCTGGTTAGGCAGTCACACATTTAGCAGGTACACACTAAATTATGTTGGCAAGAATGGATTGTTCTATTTGGTCCCAAGCAGTGTAATGTTTTGAGCTCCTAGAAACATGCATTTTGAGCACAGATGACAGTAATATGTAAGCAGCTGACTTCCTCGCTATTGCCAGTTGATGATAATGATATGCCAGCTGGCACAGAATGTCTAAGCAACAGAGATGGGAGCCAATAGTCTGTCTCTGCTCTGGTTACTAAATATACCATTGAAATGGACACACTATCTCCAGACCCTATGACAAGAATGTAAATGCTGCTACCCATAATTTCTTTTCCTAGTGCAGGCATGGAGATCATCTCAACCACTGCCATTCTTGGACATTTTAGCATTAAAAGTAAAATTCCAAATAACACTTATTTTCTATTCATATTGTAGGAGAGGAAGCTTTTTCACCCTAACTGCCAAATTAGCTCTGCTCAAGCCTATTCAGGACATATGCTGGCAAGAGACAGGGTCATATAGTCCCAACATGCTTGCTTAGATTCCATGCATACAAATTCATACACACAGGCTTTCACATGCCATTACCAGCCTATTCATTTATACACTCACACTCTGCCTACCCCTTTCCTTTCCCCATCAAGACAGGCAAGGGATAGCTTCTTAAAGTACTGGTTCAGTCAGGAGCTGCTTCCTCTGACCTTACCTTTCCTGACTGAAAAAGCAAAGCACAAGGCTAAGCTGGGGGCTGCTACCTCATTCACTTTTCCTCCCAGAGTAGTGGCAATAGTTTTGGGGAAGACAGAGAAGGAAAAGGGTCTATTTGAAGGCCTTTTCAGGTCAGTTGGGGGCATACTGGGGCAGATCCAGCCTGTGAAACATGGTTCCCATTCATATTACAGGAAGTTCATTGCGGTTGGAATTGGAAAAGTAGCACACCTCCATCTAAAACAGAAACTGGGACCATTACACTCTTACCACTCTGGCGCATAATGTGAATCCATCTTTTCAAAAAGTATAAAATGTTGCAAATACAAAATAGCCCCTCTCCCTTTCAACCTGATGACAGATATATCATCGTTTCTTTGTTTTTAAAATGTTCCTCATTCCAAATATTGACACTCAGCATAAATGAGAATGTGTGTTAATAATTATATGAAGCCAGTTAGAGATAATAGACAACAGACAGCCATTATCTTCAACATTCCTTTCTGTCTTTCATATGAAAATCATTGCACTAAAGAACCAAAAATGATTGATGGAGTCTTATTTAGATCATGCAGATGACACAAATTACCTCACATTTACTTCTTTTCTTTGTAGGAGGAAAATATAATGGTACCTGGTTGGTGAATGTTAACTTACACTATAATCATTAGTATCAGACAAATATAATAAAAACTAAATAGTATCTGCTGCTTAGATTTTTAAAATTCTACTCTCAGGCTATTTTTACACAGTATTCATCCCACTAATGAGAGAGGAAGCAAGAGAGAGAACAAATGAAAAACAAATCAGATCTCCATGCTCATGCTGATGGCCAGTCCACACTAAAGTTGATGAACATGACAAAGAAAAAAAAGAAGCTATCTCCATTCTGTGGCCATGCTCTTTCAACATTGACTAGGTTGAATATGTAAACTGGTATTTCATCTTAAGCTGTAATCATGTAAAGTATAAAAAGAAAATTGCTTTAAAGTATTATGAGCTAGAAAGTACTGATTCCATATAAGTATGGGATTTTGTGGCTATGCATCTTTTTATCAAAGTTCTTAAGGCTGTTAATGGGCAATATTCAAATTTTAATATGGATTTCATGTATGACCATATGTGCTGTCTTCTCCACCCTCTTTTCAAGAGGAAATAAACTGAAACTAAAAAGTGATCATCCTAAACACTGATGGATTACTAGATTCTCTATTCATATGATTTTTTTGGTAGATTCTTTGGAATTTCAAGGTTGAAATAAAATACGGAGATGAAAATATTTTTTTAAAAGGCTAAATAAAAACACAGCTTAAAAAAGTAAAGTTAAGAGCACGGAAATACCTTCTTGGTTTTTGTTTTCTTTTCATAAGAGTCTGCTAATGGCTTTTTCTTTTCCTGAGCTGTTTCTTTGGAGAATAAGTATTCAAATTCAATGGTATCAAATATGCTGGGTTCTTCTAATGAGTCCCATAGAGTTGGTGCTGAATTTGCACTAAGATTAGGGAAAGACAAAACAAAATTATTAAAAAGTCTCTCTTATGACAGGTTTACTTTACTGCATAGTTAAAATCCTATCAATATTTAGTACATTGGCATTTGGACTGGACTGGACTGGACTATCTATCTTTACATATTATAATGCTTTAAAGGAACTCAAAGCAGCTTACATAATTCTCCTCCTTTCAGTCTTATCCTCAGAAAAACAATCTGTGATTTAAATTGGGCTAGGAGTTTAGACTGGCCTAAAATCACCCAGTTAACTCCATGGTTGAGAGGGGACTAGATCTCCTGAGTCCTAGTCTCGCATTGGCTTCCCTTCTATTATGGAGACATTATATACCCAAAACTGTATAGTACTCAACAGCAATTATATATTCAGTACTTTTTAATTGCTGTTGTTGCACAGGTTATGCATGTCACGTATAGACTATTTGCATAACCTACAAGATTTTCTTTTCTTTTCTTTTTTAGGTGGATCTGACTTAGTAGAAGTCAGTACCAAAACAGTGTACTGCTGACATTAATAGATGAATGCACCAAAGGCAAGATTAGCAAGATTTGCTTCCCTTGCTTTAACACTTCAGAAATCAGGTTAGTTTGATGGGTATGGCCTACATTTACCTTGCGTCCAAAGCAGAGTCTTATTTCAAAACTATCAATTCATATGTTTTCATTAAATTACATTGGAAAATGCACAGCCAGCTATAGCATTTTACTTCTTGACAGGATGGAATTTGTAGATAGAGTTGCCTTTTCAGAACAGATGAAGCCTATACATTTTGCACAATTTATTTATTTAATTATTATTCTTCCATTTGTATGGTGCCCCACTACCCATAGGCCTTTATAGCTTAAGTATCTTTTTGAAAAGGATACCTATGACTTTTTATTTTGGGGTAAAAAATCCTTCTAATGTGACAATACCGGCCATATTTGAATCAGATAGGTGCAAGGGGAATCTTAAGTAGGGGACCATGGCTTTGCTTGTCTGCCCTCTCCCCATAGGATAGGTGCAGGGATTAGGGAGTTACAATGAATAAAAAACAGTCTGAGAGTTTTTGCTTTCTGCTCAACTGAACTAACAGATTAGTTCCTTCTATATCCTTCCCAAAGCACTGAGATTAGTAGTAGAAAAAAGAACATTTCTGTTAAATGAATGTCCTAATAGGAAGCTAGAATTATCTACCACAAAAGCAGATCCCCTCCCCTCCCCTATTTGCTGTTTTTCTTTTTACTTTTAAGTAAAAATATAGTAATTGTTAAAGGGCAGACTGATTCTTTCTCTCCCCAAATCCTGTGCATCTGAAATATATGCCAGAAATTTCAAAGGAAGCCCACTCTACTTTAGGGTGCATTAAAGGAAGCCCACTCTACTTTAGTACAAGTCCAAATTCCTCCAAAGTAGCTCATTTTGATACTCAGTTTGAGCATGATCACATCCTTACTTTCTGGTGTTCTGAATGCATACAGATAAGAGGGGAGGGATTAAAATCTGAAAACAGCCATAGCCTAGGTGTCTACTTGATATTTCCTCCATGTTCCATCATTAATATTATCATCCGAAATGCTATCACTGAATGCTGGGAGGTACAATTTAAAAACATGCTCAGTTTCAGGTATAATCTTTCAGATTAGATTGTTTTTCTTTACAAACTGTAAATGTTTCCAAAGAAAATAATCTCCAGTCATTGTTGCTTAGTGACTATTATTTTTCTTCCAGCAGGTGTCACTCACATAACATTTTACTCCTGCTTTCCATTTAACAAGTTCCCAGTCTTTTTCCAGACCTAAGACAGTCAACCTTCTATTACCTGATGAAATCATTAAAAACTGAGAAATATAGAATAATTTATTTATTTATTCAGAAAATAAAGTATCAGGCCTGAGTATCTCTTCTTTGATTTAAACAGGTTCTAGGAAAAAAATGCACAAAACAAGACAAAACAAAGCTGCATTCCAAATTTATATATAGAATTATGGCTAGACTGCACTAACTAATAACTGAAATATAAAAATGGTTAAGAGCATTCCATAATAGTCAACTGAACTAAGGTACACCAGGGAATAAACACATTATTTTCTGTTTCTTAACATTTGGAAGTGTTAAGAATTGGTTCTGAAATCATTATCTTTGTTTTACATCTTGGCTTGCCTCATCCACAGAGGAAGAAGGTGAAATATAAGAATAAAAAAGGATAAAGGAAAGAAGAAGGGAGTCATCAGTCAACTGGACAAGAAGGTAAAACTGATTATATGTGACAACCTTTAGAACAATATAGTTGTACTGCTCTCCATAAGCTTGACCCATTTGCTATGAAATGTGTGTACACTATTTCTTTGTATAAACATCATGTACTCCTGAGATGCCAATTCTACAATTATATTACCCATTGAATGGGTTGAATTTCCAAGTGAATAAAAGCAGTCACTTTTACAGCAATCACCTGAAGGAATACTTATGATTGCTGATTTAATTACTAAAGACATATTCTCACACGTATGGATAGAAAAACATGGCTGGCTTAGGAATGCTGAGAGCTTCTGGTATTTTTCCTGGCTAAATATGTAAAGAGAGAGCCTGAAGGTTTTTCTATGTCTTGGGACATTAAAGGACATTCATATGCACTAATCTGATGTCAGAGTGTCTTGCAGGATCAGATTCGCTGTAACTTGTGCCTCAAGGTATACTAAGAATATTTCATGTCAAATCAGATTACTTTTTCGTCATAAGCTGCTGAATATAATTCTGAGATAGATTTTTTGAGAAAAACTATGGCATAGCACTGAACCATTTAATTTTTTAAAAAAAAAACATGCATTTCAAACTTTTCCTTTTAAAAAACACCTGATTTTGATATTTCCCATGTCTTTGAAATGTGTTCTCATTTCATTTAATCCAGAAATATTGCACAGATGTAGCAAAATAACAAAAAGGCATATACATTTACCTGCTGTCGTTTATTTGTATTCTGTTCCAATAGAGTGGCTTCATCGGACAAGAAGGTTCAACTGCAGGTTTCCGAGGACCTTGACTTGAAGACAAAAGGAAACTAGATCCGAGAGGTGGTGGAGGAGGTGGAAGCAGCCCTGTTCCAGGTGGAGGTGGTCCTGGTGGAGGAGGCGGTGTTAGCTGGTGGCCTTCAAAACCTGCAGGAAGTGGTGGTGCTGGTGGTGGTGGTGGTGGAGGAGGAGGATGTATAGTTCCCAAAGTTGTTGGTGGAGGAACTGAACCAGACAGTGAAGATGGAAGAGGAGGAGGTGGAGGTGGAGGAGGTGGAGGTGGTGGTGGTGGTGGCAACATTTGATCCTGCTGAGATACAATACTTCCTGAGGCATGGCTACAACTGCATGTTTCTTTATGATCAGTTGAGGAAGAAATGCTACTATTCAAAAATGGTATAGTAAGCTTCTTAGGTATTATTTGGTTATTCTTGACTGTCCGGTTTTCATCTTCATTTGGCTTTATAAAAGTTTCTCTGTCTGTCTGTATACATACATTTCTGTATGTTTTTGGTGGGTGATCATCTTCAGTGGATACACAGATATCCTTTGTTTCTTCACTTCTTCTGTAGAATTTATTTTCCAGTTCATTTTTTAAATTTTTGATGTCTTCCTCAAGTTTTGCTACTAATAAAGCATACTCTCCTCGAACATGGAAAACTTTGAGTTCAAACTCAGACTGCGAAGAAATAATGAAAAGGCACAGTATCATGAGGTATAATTGAAATGGTGTGAATCTTTAATTGTCTTCCGTATTGTACACAATATCCATTAGCAAACATAGCATGTGCAATAATAGGCAGCCTCTGCCTTATGAGTTCAGAAGTTAATTTGGTCATTCACAAGTATAAGAATTTAATATAAATTATACTTTAAAAATGAAATTGTAGATGCTGTGCTAATTACATTGTGGAGCACTCTGTTTTCTCTTTTCTTTTGAATTACCACTATACCACTTATGCGTGTTGTTTGCTACTTCCATTGTATTGAACAAGTAGAGATGCAAGGTAGTAAGTAGAAGAAACTAGCTGTCATGAATTGGGTACAGCAATGCTGAAACAATGTTGGTCAGAAGAAACCACTTGCCACTGCACAGAAGGGCAAAATAGTCACTGCTCTGCCACTGTCTCAACTCTGTTCTTTTTTTGGGAGTAGTAACAAAGTTTTCCTTAATCTTCCATAGAGGAGACTTGCTGGAAGTGGAGAAAGGGAACAAGTGTCTAGACCAGCTAACTTTGTCCCTAATCACTTATGCATTCAGTAAGAAACTTGATGCCAGCATATATATACAAGCTAAATTTTTGGTAATATTCGGGGGAATGGAGGTCTTGAAAGCCTATGCTTCTGAGAGACTGTAACATTTCTACGATTGATGGAAAAATCTTTCCTTCGCCTGGATAATTGAACAACAGCCTACTCTACTGCAGTAGCACCCACACGTCAGGCATACACATACAAGACTCTGCCAAATGACAGGTCATTTTGGCACGTAGGACATGTGGGTTTAGACTTTGTGCAGTGGTCAGTTTTCCCAGTCTTATTTATATACGCAGGGAATTCACACACAGAGATAGTATTAATAAGTCTTCCCTTCTTAATGCCAGCTATATCATGCAATTATTTGAAAATAAATAATTTAGACTATACCAACAAATTAACCTTCACATATGTTTAGGATAAAAAGATAACTCATAAACCCTTCTGGTTCAGTCTTTTCTCATGCCATTTTCACAGCTGCTTCTTTCCCTAAACTGATGTTTTAATGCATTAAAAAAGCAAACAAGAAGAAAAAAGTGCTTCTTCCTGAGAAGAGCCCAACCAATTAATGATCATATAAGTCAAATGATATATTCAGATACGATTTTTAGACAGTATCCTTTGTCCTCATCCTACTTTTCAGTGACACAGAGCACCTTTTATCAGCTTAGGCTGGTTTATGAACTACAACCTTATCCAGACAGACAGAGCCTAGTGACAGTGAGCCATACTCTGGTAACCTCATTCAGATTACTGTATTGTGCTCTATGTGGAACTGCTTTTGATAATAGTCTGTTGATTCAAAACAGGGCACCAAGGCTATTAACTGGGAATGGCTTAAGAGAACACATCATGCCACTCCTCTTTCAGCTGCACTGGTTGCCAGTTGAAGGCTGGGCCCAATTCAAAGCACTAGTATTAACAGTTAAAGCTCTAAACAGTTTGGGGCCAGGTTATCTGAAGGAATTGCTTGTCCCATAAGTACCTACCTGAGGCCTAAGGTTATCTTTTGGTGTCCTTCTCAGGGAGCCCTCTGCAAAGGAAGTAAAGAGGGTAGCTACCAGGAGAAGAGCCTTTTTGCTTGTGGCACCTTGACTATGGAACCAGCTCCCCAAAGAGGCGCACCTAGCACCTACTCTTTTCCAAATAAAACCTTTTTATTTGCTCAGTATTTTAATAGTGAACTTATATTCTCAACTTCTATACTTGTTTTATCTCATATTTCTGCTGTACCTCTGGACCAATTTGATTGCAGTTGCTGTGGGCCTATTGTCACTGTTTTATTTGGGTTTACTTGGTTCACTTCAAGAACCACCCAGAGAGCCTTTGGGTTACTGGGCAGTATAGAAGTGAAATAATAAATAAATAAAAACAAAATTCTCATTCTCAGTCCTAACAGCAAAATTGCTATATTCTTAACCAACTACCAGGGGATGCACTGGTATAAAATAGCAAATAATGTAAAAGATAAATGTTCTTTCTTTGGTGGCAAATGTCTATATTTAGAATTAGAAAAGTAGTTTAGATTCAGAAATGGTGGGCTTGTGACACTGTGCCAAAGATGGTGACTTTTAGATTGTAAAACTGATGTGAGACACTCTGAATACCTTTCTGGCTGAAGAACTAGGTAAAAGTTATTTAATGCAAGAAGGGGTTCCCCCCCCTGCTCCCCACCATGCTTTGGGTTGTAAAGATCTCATATTACTAAACAAAAGCCTAACATGTGTTTGTGCAACGAAAGTTTTTAGTGTGTGTTTTCTAAGAAAATGATTACCTTTGAACAAAGAATACATTTGTTTTACATTTCAGCAACTATAAACAGGAGTTTTAACAATCAAAGGCTAGCTAGATGAAAATAATGCACATTTGCCAATGTGCTTAGAGATTAATTTCTTTCTTCAGACACCTCAGTTATCACAATCTGGTTTATGTGCTTCGTTGCTGTTGCTTTCAAGGACAAGTATTTAGACCTATTACCAATAAAATGACTAAGAATAAAAGAATTCATGACGTGTTGCATGTAAAAATTCCCAGCACACCAAAATATTTATGTTGTTCAAGAGGTGTCTATGGAACCCAAAAAGTTATGTCAGTGAATGATTTACACGGAGGATTGTGGCACCAGAAAGTGTATATTCACTGAAATGGTATTAACAGGGTGCAATCCTATGTATGTTATAGAAGATTCCTACAACTCCCAGCATTCCATAGCTCGCTGGGGAGTAGTGGAAGCTGTCGGTCATTTTTGCCTAACTGTGCACAGGATTGCATCCATCCATAACCACCCAAGCTCTCAGAATTATGAATGAGAGTGGAAGGAATGCAGAGGTGAAGGTTGCTTCCATGGTTCTGCTTTACAAAGGATTTAGGTGGCTAATTTGGCCACTTAAATCTTGTGACCTGGCTAACAAAGACAGACTGAGATGCTACCAGAATACATAATATCCCAGTGAAGCCTCATTCTTCTCCTTCCAAACCCTGGAAAGCTCACCCTGCTGTCAGTCTTTTGACCTCAGAACCACAGCCAATAAGGAAAGGACCATGCTGGCTGCAAGGGCACTCTGAGGTCCAACTTTGGAACACATTTCTGAGGTAAAAACTATGCCCCCTCCTTTTCCTACAGCTTTAACATCTAGCATCCACAGGATTGTAACCCTAGTGGAAGGGAGTTAAGTGCATGGTCCCAAAATCTTGTTGTTCTGTTTTGTCTTCACTGCAGTAGTGATTTGGAGAGAACTGTGAACACTTTTCTTTTCCCAGTGTCTCTTACATCTGTCACTAGGAACTGAGACTTTGAAAACAGCAACTGTATCCCTGACACAGAAGACTGCCCTGTGGCTAAGTGACTAAACATTTGGCTACTGCAGCAGCCATTTCTTCTGAAACTTGCTGTAGCACAGAGATTCAGAGTCACAGTGGCTGGGGCATCTAAGCTCTAGGGAGAAACCTATATAAATGCTTACCCTTCCTTGACAAATGTTTTATTTTGTAGTTTTGCAAATGTATCATAAGCTGCCACAAGAACTTCAATTAACAGGCGGTGTTCAAATGTTCCAAATAAATAAATAAATAAATCAGTATCAAATTGCTTGACTTAAAAATATGTAGGCAGATTAAGGCCTTCATTCAGAATTCCTGTAAAAGATACTCCGTTCGCAGGGGGAAGAGTTAAAAGCAAACTTCACTAATTCCTCCTGTCACCAGTTGTCTACAATAAATTGGTTCCAAAGAGTTAGAGGACATTTCACTGGACTGAAATGATTCACAAGAAGGAAACTGTAGATGAAACTGGCAGTACTGCTTCCTTCAGTGTGAAACTGAACTGAATACCAGTTCCTTCAGTTCATGGGAGAATCTCTACCACTTGTGGAAGGTCAGTTCTAAAGACAACCAAAAAGTTTACCAGGACTACAATAAAAATACATTTTCAGTGTAAATGCTAGGGTTCTAGAGGGATGGCTGCCCAATCAGAATGTGGAACTGACACATGTATTTCAGCTAATTATATCTATTTATGTCAATTCATTTCAATACAATTCTGTATTATTTATTTATTTCATTTATATCCTGCTTTTTTCTTATGAAGAACTCAGTGTGGCATTATTCTCTTCCTACTGTCCACTATACCACACTGACTCTCCAATAGCCAGTACTCTAGACAATTCACAAATATAAACATAATAAAAATATAATTATCTCCAGTGTACGAAATTTAAAACAATTTTCTCAATACAGTAAGATTCAAACAAGTGACTTAACTGTCCCCATCTTATGCCATCAAATGCCTGAAAGCAGAGGACAATCTTCACTAAGCATCTAATAGATGACACTGCTAGGCCAGGCAGATCTCAGTGGGAAGAGCATTCAATACTCTGTACATGACAGACTTTGATTCAGTGAACTGTTCTAGGCATCTCTTGAACCAGAGAGGAGCAGCTTTTTAGGCCTAGCTTTCTGGTGTGATAGAATGAAGTGTTGAGATCCCGAGGTAGAACAAGAGACCATAGGCTTCAGGTTGTAGATTTCTCTTATGTGGAAAAAGAAATCCAAAATAATTTCAAGTAGCAAACTAGCACAGTAGATGGAGACCTGTATTATGAGCCCCTCTTATATATAGGCTTTATGCCTGTGTGCCTAATGTGGAACTAAGGTGAGCCAGGTTCTGTCCTTGGCATCTCATATGCCTATCTGGCTCCATCTCTGACCTCTGTGTTCTGAAGGAGGAGCTGAATGGACTCAGGTAGGTTACTTCCATACTATTGAGATATCTGATTTTCTAATTCAGTTCCTAATCCCATAAAGAAGCCTTCACAAAGTTGAGAAGATGCCAGACATGCTAGTTTAAAAAGGTTTTTTGTTTGTTTGTTTAATATTCAAGAACATTCACAAATCATATTCTTCTTGCAGCACAGTACATTTTAT